TTAGTTCAAAGCGATAAGTCGAATCCGGTCATGCACATGCTGGTTGAGGATTGTTTGAAATTGGATATGGTGAATGATCAGTTATTCACTGCACAATGAAATGTGCATGTGCCTGATGGAAATGAATGGATGGCAATGATGTTGGTGACGGTGTTGCTTTATTGATACTGTTGCTGGTGCTGTTGGATTAGTGTGCACTCACACTTCTCGGGAGACCGATATTCACCGGAACAGATCGGAGCACAACTCGTTCAATGGAACGACGAATGCATCATATCTATCTATCTATCTATCTATCTATCTATCTATCTATCTATCTATCTATCTATCTATCTATCTATGTATCTGTGTGTCTGTGTGTCTGTGTGACTGTGTGTGCGCGCCCGCGCGCGTGAGGGCACGTCACGGTGATTGAAGTGGTGTGACCGATTGAAGGACGTGCACTCGAGTGTGTAGAGATGTTCCGTTCCAGTGAGATTGATGAATCCAGTCGACACGAACCGACAGTTCAGTGAATGAATGATTGATCGGTTGGAGGATTGATGGATCGATTGACCAATTGGTCGAATAGTAGTTTGGATGAGCGAATGAATAGGTGTGTGAGTATGTCGTGTTGTTGATTGGTGATACATTTAGTGGGATAGTTGTTTGATTTTGGGTGTGACTGTTTTCCGACTTGCTTGCTTGTTTGTGTGGTTGTGTCGTGTGGGCGGTTAGCTAATGTGTACAGTTGTACTGTACTGAACGAATGAGTAGATGCGCTTGCTGATTGTGATGTGTGTATTATGTTGATAGTCGTTCGCCTATTGACAAGTTGTGAGCGTATTGTGAGTGGAGGAAGAGACAACGGTTAGAGGATGATGTGTTTGAGGGAGGAGGAGGATGAGTTGATTTGTAGTGAGTATAAGATGTGTGGTAGATATGCGGCGAGCTCGTGGCGCAACGGTAGCGCGTCTGACTCCAGATCAGAAGGTTGCGTGTTCGAATCACGTCGGGCTCAGTGATTTTACACTCATATCAAAATCATTGCCAAAATATGCTTCACATCACACACTATGCAAAAATTGACATTGCTCGCTAAACCAACATCATGTGCATAAACGCCTGTTGAACGGAGTTGTGCAATTCGACCCGCAATACACATACCAACCTGATCGGTTGATGCTTGGTAGTCAGTGCCCTGATGCACAAGACCGTAAAAACTACCGCATGCCAATATTCTGAACAATCTGTGGGTTGTGGCCGTGGGGGTGAGTTGGCAACAGACTGTGTCCTCGAATGCGGAACCCATCCTTTCTTGTTGTATTCACCTGATTTCCCCACTACCTCTGAGGAGATCTGTCCTCTCAGTCGGAAGACAACGTCACACTCCAGCTGATAACAACGAGTTGTTGTCCAATGTGCTACAAAGATTCAATACTCATCACCGAACAACACACAGATCAGCTGTCGTATCGGTTGCAGCACGTCACTGTTACCGGTATTAAGCATATTCGTGTCCACATCAAACTCATCAAACTGATCTCGACCGATCAAGTGTTCGTTAGTTCAAAGCGATAAGTCGAATCCGGTCATGCACATGCTGGTTGAGGATTGTTTGAAATTGGATATGGTGAATGATCAGTTATTCACTGCACAATGAAATGTGCATGTGCCTGATGGAAATGAATGGATGGCAATGATGTTGGTGACGGTGTTGCTTTATTGATACTGTTGCTGGTGCTGTTGGATTAGTGTGCACTCACACTTCTCGGGAGACCGATATTCACCGGAACAGATCGGAGCACAACTCGTTCAATGGAACGACGAATGCATCATATCTATCTATCTATCTATCTATCTATCTATCTATCTATCTATCTATCTATCTATCTATCTATGTATCTGTGTGTCTGTGTGACTGTGTGTGCGCGCCCGCGCGCGTGAGGGCACGTCACGGTGATTGAAGTGGTGTGACCGATTGAAGGACGTGCACTCGAGTGTGTAGAGATGTTCCGTTCCAGTGAGATTGATGAATCCAGTCGACACGAACCGACAGTTCAGTGAATGAATGATTGATCGGTTGGAGGATTGATGGATCGATTGACCAATTGGTCGAATAGTAGTTTGGATGAGCGAATGAATAGGTGTGTGAGTATGTCGTGTTGTTGATTGGTGATACATTTAGTGGGATAGTTGTTTGATTTTGGGTGTGACTGTTTTCCGACTTGCTTGCTTGTTTGTGTGGTTGTGTCGTGTGGGCGGTTAGCTAATGTGTACAGTTGTACTGTACTGAACGAATGAGTAGATGCGCTTGCTGATTGTGATGTGTGTATTATGTTGATAGTCGTTCGCCTATTGACAAGTTGTGAGCGTATTGTGAGTGGAGGAAGAGACAACGGTTAGAGGATGATGTGTTTGAGGGAGGAGGAGGATGAGTTGATTTGTAGTGAGTATAAGATGTGTGGTAGATATGCGGCGAGCTCGTGGCGCAACGGTAGCGCGTCTGACTCCAGATCAGAAGGTTGCGTGTTCGAATCACGTCGGGCTCAGTGATTTTACACTCATATCAAAATCATTGCCAAAATATGCTTCACATCACACACTATGCAAAAATTGACATTGCTCGCTAAACCAACATCATGTGCATAAACGCCTGTTGAACGGAATTGTGCAATTCGACCCGCAATACACATACCAACCTGATCGGTAATCAGTGCATTGATGTATATGATCAATCGTGATTATCCTAATTTTTAATTTGCTAGTTTCCTGGGAGTTTTGGAATTTATGACTTAATTATTGATAGCGTTTTGATAGGTATATTTTACTATAAACTTATGTTTATTTCGTACAATTGTATGTATAATTTTAATGTTGTTATACTTATGGGGATAGGTTAGAAAATTATTGATTTTATGTCGAGTCAATTTTTGTAGATTGTTCACTGTGTTTTATACTTCAGTTGATGTTCATTAGGAAGTCTGATGCTTTACTTATTTGATTTCTTGCCTGACCTAAACCTCGACCCACGTGCTTCTTTAATACTTTTTCTTGTTGAATGATAGGTTCAACTAGTTTGAGTATGTCTAATGACTGATGCCTAATTAATGTCACAGGCCTCTAAATATTACCCGGCTTTCTTTGTATTTTTTCTGATCAATATTTCAACACTGTCCCAGTTGAACCCACATCTCTATCAACTGATATAAGCAAAGTTACATAGCGTCGCTAACTGGTGTTCATGTAGACGTAAACGAAGACGGTGGCCGTTTTATCCCATAGCATGTAGCAGTACCTGCAATTTATAACATATCACCTTCATATACGTTTAATTTTCCTAAACCATTGGCTTAAGTTATGTGAGACTGTCATTCGGTCAGTAACAATTTGTTTGTACCTTTATATTATTATAATCATGTGTCACAGCCTACACATTCCCCTTGCTAGCTTAACTTGACTAATTTATTTATTTATTAATTCAGTCGCTCGCATCTGCATTTCTGTTTGTATTCACTTTATGTGCTTGCGTCTTTGTGATGAGCTGAACAATAATAAACGATTGCTTGCTAAAATTTAAACACAATTGAGTTATCTATTAAGGGTTATCATGACTAGCGACACACGAAGAGTAGGAATTATCTCAAAGAAATACAACTACAAATTCCTACTATAGATCGTTGACTTGTCTCTGTTTGTCGTTGTGCCCTTTGGTTTGCAGTGATTATTTTGGCTTGTAGACTACACCTATATTACCTAATAGTTTTAACATTGTTCTTTATCTCGGAGATCCTCTTTATGTAGGGTGAATTTATTCGTTCGCTCGTCTTTCTCGTTGATTGTGTATTCGATTGTCCGTTTGAAAAGCAATTTTTGGAATTTTGTGGGTAGATATTTTTTGGAATAAATCCATTAAATATTTTGTTTTATTTCCCGGCGCAACGGCGGTGCTACAATAGTCTTTGTGTACAGTTTCTTTTGTGAACAAGTGGACTGTTGCTGTTTTAATTATGTGATCAGTATGTGTTGGTTTCCGATAGATTTAAGTTTTCAGTCTTTCCATATTGTTTCTTATGATCAATATGTAAAAAAATGGCAGTTTGTTGTCTTATTCCGCTTCTAATGTCGATTTCATGTTATCGAAGATGCCGTTGATGAAACTGTGGATATTTTCCAACTGATCCTAACTGAGAATGATGAATGCATCATCTACATAGCTTATCCGAATTTATTATTTGAACATTGATAAGACTACAGTTTTCAACCTCTGCAGAACTGGTTCTGAAGTTACCGAGGATATCGGACTATGGGGGTTAAAACTGAGATACGGCAGTACTATAAAGGATATCATGTCAACTACCCTCAATTTATATACCCTCTATCCCAGAAAATACACAATAAGTATAACTAAAAATGGACTGCTTATAATTAATAAACCGGGGACAAAAGTTAGCAGAATTAAGATCATTGAGTGTGTTAGAAATGTATAATAGCTCTTTTAGATAATTACATTCTCAATAGCAGAACAGTTACAATATAGAAAGCCTTTTTACAAACACAGGTTAGGAGAGATGTACATTTTTTTCTACAATTAAAAAGAAAACCATCATAACAAACAAAAGGAACCTACGAAGAAAACAATAAGACATTACAGAATGATAATCAGTCTTATAAACTACTAAACAGTAAATCTTTTATAGTTCACTTATTATGCTAGGTTAGTTTATAAGATGATACGTGAGTTTAGTGTGCGTTGGTTAGAAGTTGTTGTATTAGTGGTAACGGTAGCAAAGATAACACCAGATAGGAACTTCGAAATAACAGTCAAAATGTAGATGGATATAGTTGATTAAATGGCACAAAAGAAATGATGTATACACACACGTAGTATGATTCGGTTAAAAGCCTACATGTATACTTTTAATTAACGAAAAATTATATTAGAAATACAAGAAGAAAATAAGGAAACACGTAAATTATTGTGATTGTTGAAAATCAAACAATGATACCGAAATATTTGATCACCATAAATGTGTTTCACGAATTTCACCGATAATCATACTGGCTTTCTGAAGAGCCTATAAAAAGAAATTTAAACAGTATATTAGTACAAATCAAATCAAATTTCTTTTGCATATAAATTAAAAGACATTGAATAAGAACTTTCAATCAATTTTCCTTGAAAAAGCTTGGACCAGATTGTCAGGCGAAACGTTGGATTTACTTAAAAATCCATTCGCTGAGATTTTACAAATATATTCTTCTTTTTAATGTCTAAAAGATATTGTCATACAAATATAAAACCCAGTTTATATTTGCATTTTACTGCCTACGGTTTGGAGCAGGAAAGATTCACGGAATAGCATGAACTGTTATTTAGAAAAACACGAATACAGAGAATTATTTCTTATCGATTGGTTTTTCATTATAACTCCATGTTATATATATATATATATCCGCTTTTTAATAATAAGCAGACAAATACTGATTCAGCGAAAGTAAAATTATGAATTCAAAATTTTTTATAAAAGTAATTATAAAGGAATAAGTTAAAAGATGTAGGTGTATAGGGTAAACCTAATACTCGGTGTTTTTTTATAAATGAGTTGATACATATAGTTATTGAATTAACAAACTATGTAGACTATGAGTTATTTACCTTCAACATTTCGGAAGCTTCTCTTCGGCGCTGAGCTACTCGTTCACTTTCTTGTAACAATGCATTGTATTCATCTTGTTTATACAATTTACCGACAAGTTCTGATTGTAAATTATCTTTAACAAAATTCACTAAAAAATGCATTATTGCTTTTGGAACAGTATCTTGTATGTTCTTTCGAACAATTAGAAAATAGGAACGAATAAGTTTCCCTAAAGGGAGAAAAAAAGAGACACTAATAAAATGTTTGGTGATAGTTCCTAAATGAGAAGTAATATCATCATTATGTTGAATAGATCAACAATAAAAGAAATCATCAGGATAATAGTACGACACTGACAACCGTAGTCAGTCCCAACCTTTTAATAGAGAGGGCTTCAATAAAAAAACTTTAAAAAATGACTTAATTGCGCATTGATTATTTTCGAATATTTTGGAATATCAACATGTCCACAATTGAATATCAAACATTTTATTGCATGATCTCGATTACAAATCTTAATGCTTTATTCTTGCGTCTTTTATGAGCTCTATTTAATTTATTTATTTCTTTACAGTCGTTACTGCATAGTTTTTGACATTTTCATTTTCTAGGCGCATATTTTCATGGTTTTTAAATATTTTCCCTTAAAAAATTTCGCATTAATTAAAAAACAACCGTCTGAAAATTATTATAATTCTTCTTTCATATTTATTGACTGTCTCAATAAAATTCATTAATATGATACAAAGTAGGTGTTAAGTGAGTCCTGTCTCCGCAATGTCTTTTCAATTTAGTTTTGCAGATAATATTATACTACTTACTAATATTCAGTAACCGGTTTCAATCATAATAACTTTTGAGCGTATAGCATAGTGTCTTTATCCGAGGTATAATATTTATACATTCAGTTTACTCATTATTGCGATCACATATTCTAAATACTTGCAATAATTAGTTTTAACCCCATTGTAGTTGTTCAAAGTTTGCCTTATTACTTTTTGTGTTTGTTGTTCTTGTTTTGGTATTGTCTTCGACAGTAATTCGATATAGCCATTAGGTTACCATACATTGCTGTAAATAAATATATTTATTTTAGGAAATATTTTTCTTTGACTGGACATGTGCTCGGTATATATCATAGATAAGTATCAAATTGTAGTTTATAATGAATTGCACATATTTTCATGATAACAATACCGTATTGCAAATAATCTTGCATTTTCATAGACAGATTCTACAAGTCATTCAATTGTGTGGACAGAAGCCTCAATAATAGTTAAAAGTATGTGTATTGATTGCGAATAATCGTTACTACCATTTCGAAGATGTGAGAGATTAAAAAGATTTCGAGAAATAAATGAATTCATGCTATTTTGCTACGATCGCTGTTCACGCTTTATGTGAATTTACGTAAGCAGAAAATTGTATAATAAAATCTTCACATTATTGTTAGCTAAGCAATTAAATAGACTGACAGTCAACCTTGATCACAAAAAGCACTTAACAGGGAAATATGTTCTGAAAAGGGAATTTAACATGTCTAATTGATTTTAACAAGGTCCAGATACGTCAATTTCTTAAATTTATCAAGCTAACAAGAATTGTTGACTGTGAGTAGTCTTCACTCGATAGCTTCAGAATACATATAACAGTTATATTGTACTTTTTTCAAGTTCTGTTGGGTGTCAACCACGAATAAGATATATTGAATGGTGACTATTTCACAGTTAGAATATATAAGCCATGAACATCATAAGTAATTCTCTCAAACTCTAACTGGTTTACTCTTAATAAATTATACCCACAGTACGTTATGTAATTCCTGTCATTCATAGAAAGTTGATCTGAAATATATGACTATTTTGTGATAATACGTTGATTTTTCTTGAGACGGTACAAGATTTCTCTACACTTCTCGCTTTGTTTTCGTTTTTGTGTTCTGATTCTTACGTCACGGATGTTAACCCGAAGTACAACACCTATAACCAGTTTAATTAATGGTGAACCTTCAAAGTTTAAAAAACAGTAAAAACATGGTGATACTGTTATATCCTAGCGAAGATTGAAATACGAATAACTTCTGAGAACTATTAATGAACTAATATTATATATATATATATATATATATATATATATATATATATATATATATATATATATATATATATATATATATATATATATATATATATATATATATATATATATATATATATATATATATATATATATATATATTCCTATTGTATAACTATTCAGTAACTAGATTGTGTATATCTATATTCACCTTATTATAAGCTTCATTTTGACCTATATATTATTATTGTACGATTTACTGTTCTTAATTTATGTTCAGTTTATTGATTACAGTCTCCCACGTTCATAGCCACATTTAGGCTTGATCTTGTATAAATGATATTTCCTGTTTTATGGTGTGATCCAGTCTGTTTGGCTTGTATATAAACCAAGTATCTTTGAAATAAATGATTCGCATAGTGGAAGCTGTTATTAGTGTTCTGGACTCAATTGGACGTGTTAAGCGAACAAAGAACCAATAACGACGCTAGGCTGATCATACCGGTTGGACGTCATTGGTTTAGCACAGTTCTAAGATTGAATAAGTCGTATTTCGATTGGCGAATAAATCACGTGATAACTAGCCGGGTTTAAAGTCACAACAGATATAACTAGTCACTTTAGAGAGTTGATAAAACACATCTTTCAATTGTGACATATTATAATGAAGCTAAGTAACTTGGTTCCAATTTTGAGATTCGACTATGAGCTCTAAATATCTAAAAGTAAAGTTTAAAATATTCAATATAAAAAGCTGACATCGAGTGCCAAAACTAATAACAAAACATTAAGATAAAAATCATTTTACAAGTTCTAACAATTAAAATATATATTATTGAACTAACCAATAACTTCACAATCATGTCGTTCATTTGGTGTTAGCTTATGCTGTTGAACTTCCGTTTGCTAATATAGCGAAAATAAACAATGGGAAAAATATAAAACCAATAGTATTGAACATAATACAATAAATATGACCTGTTTATATGTAGTTCCAGGTTCGTATATCAGAGTGAAAAACAACTTTTCTTCAAAGATGAACAATACTGTCTAACCAGGAAAATTGAAGTAGGTAAGCCAGAATTAAACTGTAGATCGATATGATCATCATATAGTGTTTGGATCTTAAAAATATACATAATACTATCTTAAAGCTAGTAATTAAATCTATGGTTAAAAAGTTTAATATGAGAAAACTCGTGAGCAGCAGAAACTGATAAAGAATTGTTAATTACATATTCATGTAGTATAGATAGATAATCAGTTTCTTAAAAATAGAGGGATTATTTTTGTATATTCTCTTAGGGAGATTTGAAGACGGCATTTATTCAGTCGAAAACGGTCTGGTGGAAAATAAAAACAAGAATCAGGGATAGTGCTGATAACACACCAACTTCCTATTGTGTTCCATGACATCCGATTCACATAGAGACTTCTTAGATGCTTTCACAACCTGCTATGGAAGTGAGAACGCTTGAAAATGTTAGATGGGAAATCAAATGAAACAAACCACTGGAATGCATGGATTCGTTCTTCTGACTTAAACAAGGACAGGTAGGCTGATACCTTAAATACAAAAATGATCGGTTTCCTTCAATAGCGTGCCTCTTTCATAATGTCTCATCTGTTGTCTGATCTTGAGATCGCGAATGAGCACTGGTACGCAATATGACTAGTTCAGTCGTCATTTTAAACAACTGAGTAAATAAAAGATTTGTCGCGAATCTTTATGATGCTAATTCATTGCCACTAGAAACATATCATACCTACCTAATACTTCATTTCAAGAAGCGTTTCTTAGTGTGTACACACTGTACTGTTTTAACCAAAATGAATAGTAACGAAAAATGTGCACTAAAAAAGCGTCATGTGATGTTGTAGAACATATATACCGTTAGCTGAACCAAATAACTAATACTATGTGCTAAACACGACACAAATAGTCAAACTTTACAATTTAATATAACATACTACATAAAAAATATATTTGTCATCACTGTGCTAAGTTGACCAATATCATGGACATTGGGAAACAAAATACTTGTTATGCACGAATTTTGTAGGATGATTTAAGAGGATTAAGCACTTGACTTATTTTTCAACATATTTAATGTAGCCGTTACAGGAGAAAATCGGTAGTCAATCACAATATACGAGAAACTATTCATTTGGTACAAAAAATCTATAAACGTGTATAACGAATGAAAATCATAAGAAAAAGGTTGACAATTTTCTTTTATAACAATGAAAGTAAAGCATATCCACCTAATTCTAAGAGATCATCATAAATCTAATTACGGTCTTGATAAATTGTAAAGCAAACAAAAGTCAGTAAAAGATATTTGGATCTAATTAGTAATACGAAAGAAGGTCGAACAACACACTACGTCGGGAATCGGAAGCAGGTATGAAATGGATGAATAGCAACTGGAAAGGATGGTTCAGGACAGGGTTGGGTGGAGAGCGCTGGTGAGCGACCTATGCTCCTTCACGAGGGGTAACAGGCGTAAGTACAAAAGATACATCTAATGAACGAACAAGGTAATTATTTGAAAAAGAAAGAATAATGATTGAATAGTGACACAAAGTTATATAAACATCGTACTGTTCGTTAAAAATCAATATTATAAAACATTAAGGTTATGTAAAGATTCATTAGAGAAAGTGCTTTTTTCCTCCTTAAGTAATAATTCACAATTTCATTGACTAAAAGCATGTAAAAATAAGGAAATATGTGAGTTCCACTTCCTGTGAAAATACAGTATCTGTAAGATGTCTAGAATACCAACAAAAATTTATTTAAATAAATAATTTATACCTCTAAGTGACATGAACACAAAGGAACAATAGGCAGAAAAAGCTTACAATGTCCGGAGTAAGGCTTAGTCCAATATGCAGATTCTCTGGATTTTGATCTGAGGATGGACCATTAACATTAAGTGAACTGGTCTGTTCTTCGTGCTGAAGAGTTCCAGGTAGGCGACGAGTCAGATGTGAAGCAGTAATGGTACGAAGTGAAGATCCTGAAATTGATCCCTGTGTTGCCGGTTGGTCGTTAAGAGACTGGCAAAAAAATCAGTATAAAACGTAACAGGTTTAGATACTGGGGAAACACCAATCATTGACATGAGGCAAGAAATATGTATGAATTAATGTCACGAAACCATGAGAAACCTACTAACAAAAGTAAGTCTCTATAAGTATAGAGGTTTGTTGATCAAAATAAAGTATTATGACAAATAGACATAATGGCCGCACATCAACGTTCACTATTTCACATGATATCGTCAGAGAATTTTTTTATGATTGTATGTAATTAAAACGGAAAAATTGACATTTCAAGATAGAAGGGTAGTGCTGGTAGGTACTGGTTAGGACTGATGAAGTAGAACACAATTAGTAAAAATAAATATTTATATTTGAAAAACGAACATAAAAGAAAAACAATTTCGAATAAATTGAGCATTGGGTTGATTGTTATAAATAAATAATATATTTGTAATATCCCAATGAGTAGAAAATTAGATTTTCTGACATTTCGTGACTTAGTGTAAGTCACTTCTTCAGAGAATAAACGTGGATTAATTTTTATTTGGTTATTTATTCTATGAAGAAGTGACTTACACAAAGTCACGAAACGTCAGAAAATCTAATTTTCTACTTATTGGGATATTACAAATATATTAGTTTTATTTAAAAGAAAAACAATGATATCGATGAAAATAACTACAAAAAGTGTACACAGTCATAAATGTTAATCGCCAGTAAGTGTCAATTTTAGACAAGTGGAGAAAATAAAACAGGTAAAAAAAGATTTAGCAAATTTATGTTAACAATACCAAATGAAACAAACTGAGCTCAAAAAGTAGTACATTTATAAGTTGGTGAATATTCATATATTCTAAAGTCTGAGGTAACAACAGATAGGAACACCCGAAATCCTAATACGAGTCAGTCAGACAGCTACAACGTAGGACCAAGCATATATATATATATATATATATATGCGGTCCAAGTTGCCACACCTCATTAGCATAACAAGGTGAACAACAAATTAATAGTTGTTACCTCCATGTTAGTAATAGATAAAAGAACGACTGTGTATAAAGATATAATACAGGAAGAAAGAATTAGTTGGTAGAAAGAAAGGTAGAAAGCAATTTTAATTTCACAGTTTAAGAGAAGACAGAAAGTGTATACACCCATACCATTGTGATCGATTCTGAGCCATGTCACCAAGAGTCTCCAACCATTGGTTACGATAGTCACACGGGCCCCAACCAAGCAGTCCACATCTATCAACATGGCTCAAACTAGAAGTTAGTGACTTCAAGCACTGATACCACGTTTTGGTTTGGCCGCCCTTAACTTTCTTCTGTCCATCCACAACACTTGTCAGCGTTGCGCGTCGTGGTAATCGATGTACAGACACCAACCCATTAGGGCTGGTCAGACTTCCAAGATAAGTGAATTTGTCGGTGCGTTCGACTGCCCCACTTCTTATCCTTGGTTCAGATGTTGACACAGGTCAGTTTTGAAGCAGCGGTTTACATTTAGAGGAGGAGAGACGCATCCCAAACATCCTGAGATTGTTGCCCAGTGCTACGAAAAGACTGTATTTTATCAGCTTCTTTATTAAACAGAACTATGTCATCTGTGTATTCTAAGTCGATAAGTGGACCTCCTGATGGGAGATCAATACCCGAAAATCCAATCGACGAAAACGTTATTTTCAGCAGTAAGTCTATGATGAATGTGAACAAAAATGGAGAAAATGGACAGCCTTGACGAACACCACCTGAGGATGTAAAATCAAATGACAGTTCGCCATAAGCTCTCACTCGACTAGTAGTGTTCGAGTAAAGAGCCTTCACAAGGTTTATGTACTTCTGAGGTACGCCTTTCAATGACAGACACTGCCACAGAATCTCGCGGTCTACGGAGTCAAATGTTGGTTTTAAGTCAAGAAAGACCACCATTGTTGGACGCCGGTAAGTATGTCTGTGTTCTAGAACCTGACGAATGGTGAATATGTGGTTGATGCAGCCACGACCAGATCTGAAGCCAGCTTGATTCTCTCGTGTTTGCAGTTCACGATTCTCTGTTAGGCGTCCGACAATTACTGAGGCCAGTATTTTAGATGCTATGTTAGTCGAACTAATCCTTCTCTTTTGCTTTCGTTGCCCGTCATTGCTAACGGTGGTTACTTAAACTTTTTCTTTAACCTAGATCTGATTCGACTTCGTTATTCATCGTGTTTAGGACCTGACAGGATGAGTCTACGAGAATCCGTCAGTGCAATAGACCTAGTAGAAATCCATTGGATGGAGGAGGGGATCAAAAGAGGAAGTTTAGAGTTGGAAGTCGACGCAGGAAGAATGATAGAAATTGAAGAGGGATATTGATTATGAATACCGCGATATTGAATGCTGTTAGAGGTATGGTGGCGGTTATCACTTACCGGCTTCCCACACTATGGGAGGGTTCTTCTAGAGGTACCTGAAAAGGAAATTGGGTTAGGGATGGTCTTAATGACCTGAGAGCGTGACCGCACTGCCTAAGAAACAACTGCTTAAGGTCGGCTACGTACGACCATTTTGTGAATAATTTTCATGTTAGCTCCGTACTTGTTGAGACCTTACCGCCAGAAACGGATATCTGTGGGATAAAGCGAGGTGTGCATTTTATGGGCCCTCTTTGTGGAAGGCAGCATCGCTGTCATGCTGGTTGTCTGAAGGAAACACCTTACTGCTATCACACCTCTGTACAGTCAGCAGTACGACTTCGCCCCCGAACCTTGGGTTTATTGCTTTTAGTCATACCGACCTGTCTGGCATGGTAGGACCTTGAAGAACGACTGTTCCAGCCAGTATAGTTCGATTGGTTCATTACGAAAGGCAAGCCCGACCACCACGTTAAGGTAGCAGAAACGGTCCAAGTATGAACGAAAAGCGTATATAATGATTAAACTTTTGGATACAACAGTATTAATCCAATATGGAAAACGAATCATGCACTAACGTTCATAAAAAGAGGACAATGGTTGTAGAGATACCGAAACCAACCATAGAACTACATGAAAATTGGAGAGCCAACGACAAAGCAGTGACCTTAAGTAAACTCATTATTGACTTTCAAGAATTCTCCAAGCAATTTGAAAAATAACGTTTCGATAACGGTTTGCGATATCATCAACCGATCGGTACTTGAAATTCCAAAGAACGGCATACACAATTTCATTATTAACGTATTGTTGTTGACATAACAAATAGACAAAAAAATAATTCAGTTGATTCACCTAATCTAGTTGAACATCGGTAAATATTATTCACTGTAAAAAATTCTGTGTCTCGACTATTTTTAGGTTGCATAACCTTTCGATAAATTCACTATTATATAATCAATAATCAACCACTGAATTTCTAACAACTTGGACAAAACCGTAATTGATTATTAATTGAGATCAAATTGAAGCGAAAATTCGATTGATTTTAGCAGTCTTTGTCATCAAAAGATAGACTGCTTTTTAAATGAAATATATTCACTTATACTGTAAACAAGAAGTATAAGGAAAAGTTGTTTTTAATATTCTAGTCAATTTGTAGGGTTTAATGATAGTGATGGTAATACTGACAAGTTTTTCATTGATTGTTAGTAATTTCTTAATTGAACTATATGGCGCTCATAGCACTTCCAATAGATAAAGTTTAGTTCTGAATCAATAGAAAGACTTTAGATATATCGATTTATTGTGTAAAATAAATTAAGATAAAGGAAAATAAGTCAAATTTTGATGCAGTACTTACGTAATAGGTCATGAAGTAAAATCAAGATTTGATGTCTATAGTTGTTTTGAAAATAATATTAGAGTAACTATTTATCAAATATACAACTAACATTCTAAATGAAACTGAGATTTTTTATTTTACAATTATTAAGTGTTTAAGCTATAAACTATATTTAACAGAGATATATTAAATTCACAGATAATGGACACAATTTTAATTAATAACTAAATACAGATTTATGTGCTCGGCTTTGAGTTATACAGTTTTGTGAAGGCTACTGACGTTACCTAACTGCCTAAACAAAAGTGGGATTCAAACTCTTAGCCCAGTAGGTGAAAGTCAAGCAGGACTTTTTAAGCAAGCGAACTAATAAAAAGAAAACAAATTACAAAAACCATTAATACATTACAAAAAATAGTGTCAGTATGAAAAGTGACCCACAATTTAATAGGAAATTAGTTTAAAGTTCTAAAATGGACATTAGAAAATTTCGAAATCAGAAAAAAATTACCAGATTCTCTAATCCTGGAGCCTGTTGTCGATGTGTACTTAGCGCTTCCAGAAAGTCAGGATGTCGAGTATTTATATAGGCTAACTCAACAGCGACTAGATTAGTAACCATTTGATTGGTCGGTTGCAGGCGCTGGCGCAATACAGAAGTGACCACATCGACTATACGTTCGTGCAGTTTCGGAAACCGAAGGAGTTCTTGCTATAGGTAAATGAAAAAACTGAGATGAATTTGTACAACTTAGTATAACCATTAAGGAAATCAATGATAAATGTCAACAATAATTGGATACTGATAAATAATAACCTGTAGCTCGGCCAACTGAACGAATCTAGTTGTTTTGTGGTTTGGGATTAATGATGAATGAATTATGGATGTTGATCGATTGTTGGGCGCTATTTACAAGATCGGATTATTGAATTAAACGCCACCGAATGAACTAAGATTATGTGCCGGACCACTAGCTAGAAAAATGGGTTTATTTTGTCGAATACAAATCCATGCTTACATACAAAATTAAATGTTTAGATGTTATAGACAATTGGACAACATCAACCATGAGGACTCTACAATCTACTTTCAATTAGGACTTAACTTTTAGGTAGAATTCACACCTGTATTAACTCTTTCTGATCAGAATGAAGTAAACAAGACTACAGATCTCCGAATACATTCAACACGTAAATTTGTGTCTAAGAGTGCTTTATACCACTAACTAGCTCTATTTGCACTAGCAACAAGAATTATTCACAAACACATTTATTAACCCACTGATGCACCGTCGCGGACGACCAACACAGGTTAGTAAGCCTACTTTAGATTCTATTACTTTGTAAATTCACTATCCTTAAATTATCCTATTTGTCATACTAAATCATTCGTATATAATGCACAAAGAATTTTTTTAGTATGATAACTTGGGATGAAGCAGATTTTGTTTGGCTTTAACTTTGATTATGATTGACTGATGGATTTATCGTGGTAATTATTTGAAAGGGTTGTACTTGTGATTTCCAATTAGAATCAGTAGCTGCTTGAATTACTATTATTCGAGAGTTTGTTGAAAGGTAAAAACAGAGATGAATGTACGGTGCATAGTAGTATAATGTTTAAGGAGTGGAATGAGTAAATTGAACAAATCATGGAGAAATGAAACATAGGAGTGTAACAAAGAATGATAGCGTATCGTATTTTCACAAATCCTGCTTCTAACTATTATGGAAAGCTATTTTTGTTTTTTACTAACAGGTAACACTGAAGTATTCAAACGATATTGTTTTCAGACAAGTTTTCATAGATGAGAAGCTTGAATAATGGTTATTGATTTTGCAAAAATGAATAGATATTTGAATACTTTTACTTAGAAATCGGATAATTTGCCAAAGTTCTGGTCAAAATGTTTGTATTTTAATTGTATCGTTATCAAGGTTGAATTACAAGAAATAAAAAAAGTCCAGTATTGGGTGCATCGTTTATGATAATAAAAAAACATATTAGTAATGTTCTAATGAATAGAACATTGAATCTCAGACGTTTCGCGTAATAATAATTAAATGTTATGTTAGCTTAATTACATTCATCCATTGTCTGAAGCGACGACTTACACTCGGTAGCAAAACGTCAGAAATTCATTTTTCTCCATGTTAATTGTTATTTTTGAACAACGATCGAAATTCAACGTACACTATTTATCCATATGAATATATTTGAATTCTAGATTGATTGATAGAAAAAAAGTTGGCACTTAATATGGGCTGTCAAAAATGCTACAGCCATAAGCCAATGACTGTCGTACAAAAGGATAGGAAACGTATACAATTATAGTGGTAAACACCTAAATAGCAGTTTTACAATATCTTTTCCAAATATATAGAATGGTTACACGAAAATAGAATAACGCCGAAAAATATCGAGATTTAATATATAGCTCACTTGAGCACCACAATGTTGAATGATGCGTTGCATTTCTTCATGGACTAATTCAACACATCGTAAACTCGGTTCTTCCAAACGCCTGATTTGTCGTTTTACCAACAATTCGAAAGAAACCTCTGGCACAAATAGAGCAGGTCTTGGTCCGGTAGCATTTCGTATTGCAGTTAGAATATCAAGAGTAGATAAACCACCCAAAGGATCGATTTTACTCAATGTTCGATAGAAGGTTTCATGGAATATATAACAAATACGAGCGCCACCACACAACTCAGTCGTTTCAATGTCTTTCGCAACTCCATCAATTGTATTACAATAAGCAGTATTAAACTTTGTAATAATCTGCAGCAAAAGTTGTCCCTATAAAGTTAAAATATACAGTAAGTGATGTTCTAATAAATAAACTTAGAGAGAATAGTTGGGTTTCTGAATCTTCGCAACGATATAACAAAAAGTTGGGTTTTAATATATATTCACAAGTTAATTCCTCACTGGCATAGACATCTGCAACTAACCACATAAGATTCAATTGGGCGAATTCGAATTTTGACATACATGAAAAGTTTCTTATTCATTAAAATATTGAATATATATAGTATGCTACATCCTCCAAAAATAAAGTTAGAGAGCGACAGACCAATCTTCTTACTAACTGTAGCCGGAAATAACTACAGTTACTTTTAAATTGAATCGATTGATTTAAAATGGAAACTGCTAGTATCCTATATGCTAGTTCTCATTACTGTTCCCAGCTTCACGAGTTATTGAGTTAAGAATTGCTTCAAAAATACAGTCTGTCGCTTGGAAGGCTTAGTTATTATGTGTGTTCAAACAAAACACTATCAAATAGTATCGATTGATTCAATTCGTGTAGATTAGTTTCCTAGTTGCTTAGTTTTTTTTTACAAATCCTGATTAAACAACGGAATCTTCAGTAATCGCTATGACTTTGAAAGTTTTTCCAACCATTAAAAGTTATATAAATTATGAACGATCACTGTCGTTATATTTACTTTAAAAAATAATTCCCACTTCAACCTTTAAGTTTGCAAACAAATAGGTTGAGGATTCACTCACATTAAATTTTATTTGTGGATTTCCAGTGAATTATAATAAAAATCAATGACCTATTTAATTTCTATCTCCCCTACTTTCTGACTCGCTGTCAAAATGATTCTAATAACTGAGTATAATATACGGGTAGGCTTGGAATTTAGCAGTCAAGTTATACAGTAAAATCAAATCAATGGATTAACTGGAAGGAATGGTTTTTTATATCTGGATCATTTGTTTGCTTACTATGATAAACATCTAGCGTGTAATCAACTAGAAACATATTTACTCTCTATGCTATGATGGTAGGGCACAAGGTCCTCACAAAGATACAGTAATATTTGAAAAAAATCAACATAACATACACTTTAGAACAGATATCATTCACTGTAACTAGTTAGAAATGCGGAAAAATCGATATGTATTAAATAACTATCATCCTAAAATTCGAACTTTTAATTCTGGGTATTCCAGTTACTTCTAGTTTCAATAACGCTACATAATACGGGATACGTATCAAGACATGTCACACAGAAAGTACATAAAAACAATATTAAGGTATCAGAAGAGGGAGAATATAAGAAATAACAGAAACAATCCGGAAAAGAAGCACCTGAATAGGTATTAATATCTAAATATAAAACAAAATAACAGCGTAATAGCTACAAAGTCTAATCCTAAGTTAAAAATCTGAGCCACTGTAACCGGTTTCGGGCCAAGATACTTTATGTCACATTGTACCAGGAAGTGTGTTGAACAGACAAACAACAATCTGATATAATGGCACTTAACTCCATACATTCCATATTTAGTAAACTAACAGGCTCTTCGAATTCAATAGTCGATTCCAAAGGTCATTATAAATGTTGACGAAGTGCAATACTGCTAAACCAGGCTGAATAGTCTAGGAACGTTCTAATAGGAACTTGTTAAACTGACATACATACAGTCAGCAACGTGAGTAGCAGAAGATCAGTAGTTGAACATTTGAAGAGCCAATTCGACACTCGTATTGACCCGTAAATACAGTCCAACTGTCATCATGTTTATGTGACATATAAAACTTTAGACATCGTTTGCTTCTTTAATTAGCGAAATTTTCCCAGTCAACTGTTAGAGAAATTAAAAGTAGACTAAAAACGCATTGTATTACTTATGTAAGGGATGACGAAATAAATGAAGTTCATGGTTTTAAAAAAAGATTTACACCATTATAAAAATAAAACTCCGAGAAAATAGATTTATTTAGAATTGGATTTAGCCACAAGAAGAGACAGTAATACAATAAATACTATGATATATGGGGTTTTCAGCTAACCTCAAAAATACACCAATGAAGGTGAGTAGAATTATTGATTTCCATAAAATTTCTTTAGAATTCTAAGGTGTAAAGCAGACGCAATCATCATAATAAATCCACTTTAAATACTATGTATGTAATTAGATTTTAAGCATCAATTACTATTAGCCACAGAATCTTACTCTAATTGTGGCATTCATGGATCTCATTGATAGTAAACGACTTTACAGAACAGTTGTAGTCAAAAAATCGAAGACAAAGACAGGTTTTATCTCAAGAAATGTGATAGCTGTTCGTTTGTAATACGGGCTTTGACGACCTGATGGATGAACATATTCACATTATTACATTGAGTACTTCGACGAAATCCGGTCTATACTTAGTAATCCAGTATCTAATGCGTTATCTAAGCCTTCGTTAAACGACAATAACTAATATTTCAAAAACTCAACTATTAACATACTTATTCAAGGATATTTATTCTCGTTAAATAACGCCTGAAAATAAGAAATTAAGCAGTCTTTTTTCATTCTGAAATATCATGTTGCTCTAGCATTGTGGTGTGTGCTACTGACGTCGATAGACATAAGTAATATGTATCACCAATTGAAAGTTAAATACCTGGCAGCAGAAGGTCAAGAAGATCGACGAAAATAGAACCAGAACAGAGGATGATCGGTGTGTAAATGAGGGAACAGTGAAGTCTGAGACGATTGATTGATATTTTGCAAATTAAGTATTTACTGTATGGTTCTCAAATTTTACTAAGGTGACCTTGTAATTTTGTGTTCAGATACATTTGATTGTCCCCCTTTGTGTTTTCATTCACCACAGCATTAATCAAAGACAGCTTAACAACGTCGTACATTAAATGACCTATTATGAATATTTTCTGAACTTGTAAAATAAAATTATAAGCTAATACAAGTCAAAGAGCAGGGACGCTGATAAGATGCAGAGTCTTCTGGTATCACCAAGCAACAATGCCAGAATGTTTGGAATGCGCTTCTCTCCCTCTAAATGCAAGTTGTTGCTTCAGGACTGATCTGCGTCAACACCTGAACTAAGGATAGGGAGTGAAGTAGTTAAACTCGTTGACAACTTCACTTATCTTGGAAGTCTGATTAGCCCTAATGGGTTGGTGTCTCATGGAATCTCAGCATAGATTCGAAAAGCTCGTTTGGCTTTCGCCAACTTGCGTCACCTATGGCGAAGGCGAGATACCCGTCTATCAATAAAAACACGAGTATACTGCGTGGCAGTCCGTTCTGTTTTAATTTACGGCAGCGAAACATGGTCATTAAGAGTAGAAGATACTCGTAAGCTACTAGTATGTGATCACAGATGCCTTAGAAATATTGCTGGCGTCTGCTGGGATCACCGGGTAAGTATTGGGGAATGATGGTAAAACAGTTGATGAGGTTGTGAATTTTCATCAACTGAGATGGTTGGGTCAAGTGTTGCGTATGCCTGAACAACGATTACCACGATGCGCAACGCTGACAAGTGTTGTGGATGGACAGAAGAAAGTTAAGGGCGACCAAACTAAAACGTGGCATCAGTGCTTGAAGTCACTAACTTTTCATCTGAGCCATGTTGATAGATGCGAACTGCTTGGTTCGGGTCCGTGTGACTATCGTATCCAATGGTTGGAGACTCTTGGTGACATGGCTCAGAATCAATCACAATGGTATGGGTGTATACACTTTCTGTCTTCCCTTAAACTGTGAGATTAAAATCGCTTCATATCTTTCTTTCCACCAACTTATTCTTTCTTCCTGTGATATATCCTTAAATGCAATCTTTTTTTTATATATTACCACCTCTGCATTAACTACTTTTATGAATCCGGTGTTCATCTTGTTGTGTTAATGAGGTATGGCAACTTGGACCGATGCATATTTGTGCCTGGTCCTACGTTTTAGCTGACTGACTGAGTGGGTAGGGAGCTGTCAGCCAACTTAATATCATAGGCACCGTAGACAGTATTTAATAGAACTATGATTAACAAACTTAATGCAGGAGGCTATGTTAGAAACACTAAATGCTACCTTGTATAAGAAGGATGGTGAGTTTCAGAATGTAACTGAAAATTTTAGACAGAATTTACAATAATATGACCCGCTTACGAGTTTAGAGGAATTTTAGTTGATGTAACTGTGACGTTAATTGTTTCAATTCCTTTATCTTGTTGATTTGTTGACAAAATCAACAAGTTAAACGGGTACATTTATTTGTAATACGTTTATCTTAAATTTGCATGTAATGGATAGATAGTTAGATCTAGGTAGTTTGCATAAGTTTCCACTAGTTGAAGTAAAAATTTACAGGTTGAGCGTTCGCGCATGAGAGTTTGAGTCCGCGTTCGGGATCATGGAACCGCAGTGCTGAGGAGTCCCATATTAGAACGAAACGGCAGTCCACTGCTTCCGGGTTTTCAATGGTGGTGTAACATTGATCGCTTCATGATCTTAAAACTTAACAATCTCCACAACCCTATACTGATAACGAATAATGTATTATCCTGGTAAAACTATGTTCAAGAACATATTAGAAATAGAGAAATGAAGTCGATAAAATAGCAAAAAGATCCCGAATTTCTATTTTCTCACCTTAAAAGATGTTATGAAACTAAAATAATCACCCGACAGAAAAATAGAAGTAAAGAGGATAATACAAGAATAACAAACAAAAAAACTGGAAGTAAACTATCATTAGTCCAGGAGTTAACCAAAATATTGGCCACATTTTATATAAAAGCTTCATGTTACGAAACAAAATGAAATTATTTACATTTGATGCATAATTCATGAAAATATTTTCACATACGCTGAATGGATATTAAAAATGGATTATAATCGGGAACTTCAAGTGAAAGTATTTTACTTCATGAAGAATAAGACTAAGGGAAGGGTAAACACAAAGCGATAAACTTACTCGGTCTTCGATTTCATCTCCGAATGTATTTAAAAGATTCTGAAATTGTGCAGCCATTACATTCACACGTGTCTTCAAGTCTGGCAAACAATCCCGTATATGATGCATTAAAAGCTTTAACAAATATAACATAATATACAAACATAATCATAAAGTAACATTGACTTGTAATAAATCAACAGAACATCCTAGAGCATTGATGTTTACGACTACTATTAAACAAAATTCCAATTTATTAAAGTATGTTTTCTAGTACAAAATATACATAGTATTGATTAATGTTTATCATAAAATGAGACTTACCAGATGTAGTAAATATAGTCGGCAAATAATTTAGATAAAATGAATTTACTGTCCTTTTTTAAAATGCCTGATTGAGCTTTCAGTGAGCTGACCTTATACAGTAGAATTTTATGATAATTGATTATATTGGTTGTTTTGGTAATCGATTCTGAATTAATGACATATTTCTAACTAGGTTTTATAATTTTAAGATAAAGTTTTATTTTTGTAGGTCTCACAAGGTGGTTTAGCGTGACGCAATGTTGAAAAATTCAAAATACAATCTCGCAGAAAGTAAACACATTTAATGCAGGACCTACGACTAATATATACTTCATGGAACTCTTGAATCGATCAGACCCAATAAACCCATCCAAAACCGAAGCAGCACCCACGTACCTCCCAATCGATGTTGAGCTACCAACAATTGAAGAGATCCGCATGGCCATCAGACAAGTCAAAAGCGGCAAAAAAGAGGGATCAGACAACATCCCAGCAGAGACACTGAAGGCAGACGTAGCAGTAACTGCAGAGACATTCCATATTCTCTTCAGCGGGATTTGGGATGAAGAACAGGTACCAACAGACTGGAAAGAAGGACTTCTGATCAAAATACCAAAGAAAGGCGATCTCAGCAAGTGTGAGAACTACAGTGGCATCACTCTTCTCTCAATATCAGGAAAAGTCTTCAACAGGGTATTGTTAAACAGAATGAAGGACTCCGTAGACGTCCAACCCCGAGACCAACAGGCTGGATTCCTTAGGGATAGATAGTGTACAGACCAAATTGCAACTCTAAGGATCATTGTGGAACAAACAATTGAATTGAGTTCATCACTCTACATCAACTTCATTGACTAGGAAAAAGCATTTGACAGCGTGGACAGGACAACACTATGGAAGCTTCTTCGACACTACAGCGTGCCTCAGAAGATAGTCAATATCATACAGAATTCCTATGATAAATTAAACTGCAAAATAGTGCATGGAGGACAGCTGACAAACTTGTTCGAAGTAAAAACCGGTGTCAGGCAAGGTTGCTTACTCTCACCCTTTCTCTTTCTCCTCGTGATCGACTGATTCATGAAGATGTCAACATCTGGGGGGAAGCATGGGATACAGTGGACAACCTAGACTTCGCAGATGACCTGGCTCTTCTATCGCACCAGTGTAGCAGCAGTCTCAGCAGCTGCAGCAGTAGGTCTCAACATACACAAAGGGAAAAGCAAGATTCTCCGATACAATACAGCATGCACCAATCCAATCACAATTGACGGAGAAGCTTTGGAAGATGTAAAAACTTTTACATGTCATTGATGAACAGGGTGGATCTGATGCAGATGTGAAGGCGCGGATCGGCAAAGCAAGAGCAGCATATTTAAAACTGAGGAACATCTGGAACTCAAAGCAACTGTCAACAAACACCAAGGTCAGGATTTTCAATACAAATGTCAAGACAGTTCTACTGTATGGGGCGGAAACCTGGAGAACTGCGAAAGCCATCATCCGGAGGATACAGGTGTTCGTTAACAGTTGTCTACGCAAAATACTTCGGATCCGTTGACCGGACACTAATAGCAACAACCTACTGTGGGAGAGAATAAACCGGATCCCAGCGGAGGAAGAAATCAGGAAGAAGCGCTGGAAGTGGATAGGACACACATTGAGGAAAGCACCCAACTGCGTCACAAGACAAGCCCTGGCATGGAATCCTCAAGGCCAAAGGAAAAGAGGAAGACCAAAGAACACATTACGCCGGGAAATGTAGATAGACATGAGAAAAATGAACAAGAATTGGATGGGATTAGAAAAGAAGGCCCAGGACAGAGTGAGTTACAGAATGCTGGTCAGTGGCTTATGCTCCATCGGGAGTAACAGGAGTAAGTACGCAACAATATTGCTCTAAAGTTCATGAATAAAATCTGCATCGACTAATGAAATTAAAATTATACATCCACTTTACATAGAATTAAAAAAATAGGAAGTATGTACTATTAGAAAAGTAAATATTGAGCTTATTTAAATCACTGTCTCGAGCAAGCCAATAATACGATAGATGAATCCAAATCCTGAATTTCTACAAAATTCTGAATATGTCTAAACATCTTTCAGCAAATTAATAACTAAACAACAACTAATTTCCTATAAGGGTACACTTTTTTTCTAATATGATTAGACAAACACAAAAATTGTTAACAAATTGTACAGCTGATCTAGAAGTCTACAAAATACCATATCAGATCATAACGAAATAAATAGATGTTGGTTTATGTACACAAACTAATTTAAAACAAATCATGTATTCGCCTTGCAGTTTTCTTACTTTTTCAGTGTCTAATGATTTATGAATGTTGGAAGTTTATTACAAAAAAGGTGTAGGAATTCTGTATCAGATATTTGAGTGTTTTCTATAAACATTCATTGTCCATATTACTAACTCTCTCTCTGCCTTTACTTCTCTTGTGACTACTCAACACCCTAAACGCGTTAGTATACAGTTCGCAGTTGAATGAACAGAACTAAAAGATCTGAACACAAATGTTTCATTTAGTTGCTATGATTTACGCTAAACCCACATACAACGGAAGTGGTGTACATTATATTTTTTCAATTACAGATGATTTACAGATTGGAGAGTACTTTATTTGGTAGCAGCTAGCACAGCGTAGTTAAAACTCCTACATATATAAAATTATACAATAGTGTTATAACATACTCTATTTAATGTCCGTGCCAAGAATGGGGTGCCATTCCTACTAGCAAGAGATGGATAACGTCGTTGCAGAAAACTGGCCTCATCTTGTAATGCCTCGTCAATATTTTTACCCGCCTTAATATCGGCTTGAGAACGATTGACAACACCAATTATGCCGAGTTTAACTGGAACAACACGCCCCAATAAAAGATCGTGGGCGTCTGTTCCATGGTCCATTAGATCCAACTTAGTTAGAATACATAAAGTTCGGCGGCCTAAGTGGAATAAACAAAATTAAAAAAACATAATACGTAAATATCTCCAGTTAATGAATAATGGATAAAAGTGAATATTTTTAAAACTTTAAGGATAGTCAATAATGAGAAACATCACGATTTATTTACTTAGGAGAGGTCATTCCCCTCAAACGTTTAAAACCTGTGTATAAAGGAGAGGGTAATAAATACTTCGTTCTGCAAGAAATAACTATTGAGAAACAATAGCACCTAACGTATAATTTCATTTCTGACCAAACACTAACTTCCATTTATTAAATTGATTTCTTTTAAACGTGTCAGTTAATTATGTAACCACTTGTTCATTTCAGTAATGATCACTAGATCTCGCTCACTTAGCCTAATTTACATTACTAAATTTTCACGCATAATATATGCATCTATCTCTACTATAATATTTAACACAACTTTTGTGCATTATTGTTCGAACAGTTTAATGCATCCCAAACTTTCGTCCCAATAGTACTAACTAAAGTATCCCAAATCTTTGTTCTTTATCACTTTAGGATATTAGCAGATGATAAAAAGCCTCAAAGCATAATAAATTCATCTTATTTTGTGAACCTTGTTGTTTTTGTATTGTTCAGTATTATGACAAATATTCACCAAAAAGTATCACTGGATCTCAATTTTATCAATCGGGACTCGAAGAAACGATATGTGGGTTTATCAGAAGCGAAATTATCCTCCCAACCCCAAAATTGTCTGTACACTTATACGTTGGTATCTGGGACTGAGATGTTTGATTGGCATTTGTATATACTAGTTCCACCATAAATGATTCAACACAGTATTTGATTCTTATAATATATTTAACAGGTAGCGATGGGATTTGTAATGTTTTATAGTTAATAATCTGTGGCGCAAGCAATGTATTCTTCTACCAACCAAAGGATGAGTTTACTGTGTAGTAGTTCATTAGTATTCGATCATACGTGTCTTAGAAGCATTGCTCGTGTACTACTTAGTAAGCAAAAGATGGGTTGGAGGTAGGTTATTGGGTGAAGACAGTAAGTCGATTAATGAGGTAGCAAATCTTCATCAACTAGTGTGATTTGGACATGTGTTACGCATGTTTAGCCAAAGCTTACCTTGACAGGTGTTATTGTCTGGTGTAGGAGCAGGCTGGAAGAAAGTTAGGGATGGTCAAACGAAAACATGGCATCAGTCCATCAAGTCATCGACAATTGGATTAAACCATGTTAATAGGTGTAGACTATCTGGTTGGGATCCGTGTGATCGTTCACAGTGAAGTAGGTGCATTCACTCTCTGTCTTCTCCCAGATTCTAAGCTTCTGAACTCTTCATAGTTTTCTTTATTCCATTGATTTATATGTCCTTGGATCGTATCTTCGATGCTAATCTTTTCTATTACCACTTATACTGTTACTACCTCTACTACTCTAGGATTCGTCCTAACAATTTCATCTAACTGTGATAATGTGATATGGCAACTTGGACCGATGTATATACGTACTAGGTCCTACGTTGTTTTAATAAAATTAATAACTACGTGTACCTGGATCCCAATGAAGATGACTTTAACTGCCATGATATTATGCACTAAACAACTGAACTACAGACTAAATATCATTCATTAACAATATCTATCATTGAAATGCTTAAATTAAAAATATGATCGATGAAATTTCATGAAAATCTAGAAAAAACTGAGTTAATTTAATCTCAAATTATCAAGGACAGATTTATAAGTAATTTCACCCATTATAAAACATTATTCAGTCTTAGCTTGTTCGATAATTGGATAACATATTTTACTTGTGTTATGCTCTATCAAGTAGATATGACACGACTTACCATCAGGATCGATTGTTTTGGCCAGCTTAAGACCTTCGCTAGTAGCCATATCTGCATTGGCCGGTGTAACAGCTAAAATTATACTGTTAGGATTGTTAATGTAATGAAGACATAAATCATTGATCAATGTTTCGATATCCTCAGGCTGATCACCAACAGGAACCTTTGTAATGCCAGGAAGATCAACCAAAGTGAGATTGAGAACACGTGGGCTGAATATTTTTAAGTTGATAGGCTCGGAGCTTACAGCCTAAAAGTAATATAATAATTTTAACAGAATTGTTAAAATTTAACGCCTAGTAAAACTGAGTGCAACTGGAAAGTCTGCATGACAGTCTATACGAGATTTGAAATACAAATTAAGTGATAACGCAGTAGAAACTCTTAAAATTAAACGAAACCAATGGTGCACATGGGCTCCATGATCCTAAGAGAACAAATGGCAATTAACCGATCGCTGGTCACTGGCTAATATGAAGCTGAATCTCCTTACGTTGCTCCACTGCCTTGCGGATCAGGCCTTTAGGTCGAAGGCTCCGGGTGTGGCCCCCCCCAAGAAAACCACCTGCTTCGGTTTGGGCACCCTGGCAGTATCACAGCCCATATATAAATCAAGTGATTTGTGTGGCGCATATGTATTCGGTGCCCTTTTGTTTAAATAATAATAATAATAATAATAATAATAATAATAATAATAATAATAATAATAATAATAATAATAATAATAATAATAATAATAACAATAATAATAGGAAATGGTTGGAAACGAGAGCCCAGGACAGAGTTGGTTGAAGAATACTGGTAGGTAGCCTATACCCCTCCACGATGGTTAACAGGCGTAAGTCAGTAAGCGCTGGTCTACTAGTGCTTATTCATCAAGTTTAGAATTTTAATTTAATTCCTTGAATATTGTGTTCAATACTTTCGTTGTGAACAAATTACAAGAGAACAAAACGTGATGGTCAATTGTTTTGAGTGCTGATTTCTCTCCAGTTATAAACTTTCCAAAAAATCATCACCGAATCATCATTTATCAGTACATTTTATGCTACAACTACACAGTGTAAGGTAAAAATAATATATGCCATATTGAAAGTAAATGAAACGAAACATACTTTTCCAGCCCCGGCAACCCGATCCGTTTCGCTTTTGATTTCATTACGAACTTCATCGAAATCCCGGTATATCTTTTTTGTATGTAGGAATGTTGCCCATTCGGTTGAAGTACCATCACCTTCAGCGACCCGTGTAGCATGGTCTGACTCATCTACATGGATAAGTTGTAAAACAAGTGGTCGCCGCGTCACAATTCCATGTCCTCTAGGGAGGAAATCTCGACCAACTAAGTTTTCAAGGACTGAACTCTTCCCAGAGCTCTAAATAAGAGATGAGTTATAAAGAAAATCACTTTATTCCCTTTATTCACTTAGAAACTCGGGGGTGAGAGAAAAATAGCCGTTTTACTGTGAGGATCATGAAGAATAAGTGAACAATTAATATAATTCAAATAACTAACACTAAAGCAAAATTAATACTAATGTTGGATGTTCAATACTACAGAGTGTTACGCAAACCCAACCATCGATTACCACGACATGCAATGCCAACACGTGTTGTAGATGGTTGGAAGAAAGTTGAGGGTGACCAAACCAAAACGTGGCATCAGTGCTTGAAGTCACTAACTTTTGATCTGAGCCATGTTGGCAGATGCAAACTACTTGATTGGGGTCCATGTGACTATCGTAACTAATGGTTGGAGACTCTTGGTGATATGGCTCAGAATCGATCACAATGGTATGGGTGTATACACTCTGTCTTTTCTTAAACCGCGAGATTAGAATTACTTTCTACCTTTCTTTCTACCAACTGATTCTTTCGTTCTGCATCATATCCTTGTGCACAATCTTTTATATATTACTATTATTGAAGTAACAACTATAAATTCGGTATTCATCGTGTTGTGCTAATGAAGTGTGGCAACTTGGACCGATGCATATATGTACCTGGTCCTATGTTGTAACTGACTGACTGACCAACCATTGATTTCGAGTAGCCTCCAAAACCAGGAAATCTGAGCATGTAGATACGACTTGGACGAGGAGTTAATGATTTCATGTTGCTAACAATGTGTTCCTCGAACAAATTTAGTGGTCACAGTAATTGTAAAGCTTACCAATTGTTTGTTGGCGATTAGACAAAGGTATGTAAATTTTTCATTAAAAAAATAAATTGGTATTCACCAGGTACTGGGGTAAGAACCACATTCGAATTGTGAAGGCTAATGATACTGCCCGATTGCTCAGACCTAAGGTGGTGAGAGGTTGGAACCAGGGATTTAGAAACTGGAAGTTAAACACTCTCAGTATAAGCCTTCTCGAAATAAATAATAGGAAAATTATTGAGCAAAAAATTGACAGCGTTCAGAATTGGTGAGCTAAAGATTTACTGGATTTTTATACGATTACTCGGCTGGATTTAAAAAATAACATACAGCCTATAGTTACATCTGGTAGTGACTGATAATATACTTTACGGGTTCCATTATCTATTTTGTTTATTTAAGCACAAACATTTGTACAAAAAGGCACCAGAATATATATGAGGCGCAATAAAACAAGATTGTGAAGATAAAGAAAGGTGAGAATAATAAAAAACGAACAAAAATGAATAGAAATTAGTGTATGAAAGAAAAAATAGTGGTAACAATGGTAATAATGACAGGAGCGGTTCACTTACGAAAAATACAACTAGAAAGGATTCTTTCGGTTAAACAAGTTCCTCACACCTATATGAAGAAAGTAAGAGAAAGTTACAGCAGAACCACCATTGGCTTCTATTTTCAGCCATATCTGGTTGCCTTTCAAGCCAGTGTTACACTATATCTTAAACCTTAACCAGGGAATCGTAAATGATCAGCAGATCCCGGTCCTGTACAGCCTTCTTTCATACCACGACAAGTCATACACTGACTACCTCCTCGTTATGTTGTATAAGGTATATCAATTGGATGTATATAAATTTCGATGAAATCAAGAATCTGATTACCACCAAGTGAAGGCGAAACAGACTGAAATGAAATTTAATTCATTAATTATCGCGCGCTATTTAAAAAAGGACAGTGGTATTTTTCCTCGCTGAGTAAATTTCATTGTTTTGATCGTTTATTACGTATCAAGACTACTGTTTTCACTTTAATTGAATTCATTTCAGTTAAAGTATTCGACTAGAGTACCGTTTTTACCGTTCTCTCAATTAGTTTTGTCGTTGGTACTATTAAGTACCTTATTTTCAATTGTATCTGTTAGTACGTTTGGTCCTAACAATCTACAGTTCTTCACTTTTTAGTCATTGAATTTTTTGTTTCTGAGTATCATAGCATCTCGTTCCTTTTTGAAAAGGGCTCCTTTTAAATGACTGGACAGTGTAAAAAAAAGCAGTTGCCAACGTTCGGGTTGTCGTTATCTCGTTGAAAGCGGCATGCAGTGCAAGTGGAAAGCAAATATACCAGATATGATGCACTCAGCATCGTTAGTAGATTGGACAATAGACCCAGAGTCCTCAGTTGAAATGGCCTGGGACGCATTTCGAAATTCATACTTAAAAGTTACCACACCCCACATCCCTTGGACTATACCAAGGGGGCCGAGAAACTCCCCACCATGGTTCAGTAGGGAGGTCTGCATCCTTCTCCGTAAGAGAAGAAAAATGTGGGATAGATTTAGGTTACTGGGGACTGATGAAACTAAACCCCAGTATCGAAAAGTCCGGAATACCTGTGCCTCAACCCTCCGTAAGTCTAGAAAGTTGTACGAAGAAAAGATTGTTAAGGAATCCATAGAATGTCCTAAACGCTTGTATTCTTATATAAACCGAAGGACAAAGAGAAGAGGAAATATTCCTGCTCTATGGGGAAACAGTACTGCCGCGTCACTAGTGTTCTCAAACTACTTTAGCAATGTATATACCATAGAAGCACCCTTTCCGTCAGCGCATACAAATCTTCCCACACATACACTGGATAGCGTGACCATTAAAGAACTCGATGTCTTTGGCCTACTAAATAAGCTTGACATAGGTAAATCCACGGAGCCCGATGAATTACATCCTAGGCTACTGAAGGAATTATCTAACATCGTCTCGAACCTATTAAGTATATGCTTTAATCTATCCGTAACGTAGGGTCATTTACCGAAAAACTGGAAGAACACCATAGTAAGTCCTGTCTTCAAAACAGGTACGAAACATAAACCTGAGAATTACCGACCGTTAGCCTAACTAGTGTGGTTGTTAAAATCTTAGAAAAGATTATTCAGAAGGAGCTGCTTAAGTACCTTGATGAAAATCGGATCCTTCCAGAGAAGCAACACAGTTTCAGAATATTTTTATTTTTATCTCCCTAACTTATTAGTCGCTCGTGAAAGCTGGTGCGCCCTTGAGGACCAAACGTCACCTGTAGACGTTTATTACATTGATTTCAGCTTTTGACAAGGATCCGCACAACAGGCTGTTATATAAGTTAAAAAATCTCGTTAATGTAGGCAATCTATTGATGTGGATAAAAGACTTCTTAGTTGGGCGTCAACAAAGAGTATGGGTGAAATCAAAGTTATCTAGCTGGGAAACTGTGATTAGTAGAGTGCCCCAGGGTACGGTTTTGGGGCTAGTGCTATTCCTCTTGTATGTAAATAACATTTCCCGTCTCCTATCATCATCGGGCTTACTATATGCTCACGATGTCAAGATATAGAGAACGATACGATGTAAGGGTGATAGCCCCCAAATGCCCTGGTACGGCCGAGAGTGGGGAGAGTCCGCTCTCCCTCTCGAAATACTCTCACACGGCCACGCGTATATAGCCTCTGCCAGGGAAGTCCTACTCACTGCCTTCTCATGGTGGGGGTGTTGTTTACGAAAATGAGAGGACGAAAAGCGAATGTCCGGCGCTTTAACCGGATTCCAAATCAATGGTGCACATGGGCTCCAGTATCCTGCGGGAACAAATGGCGAATGAACCAATTGTTGGTCACCGGCTTCCATGGGACTGCATCTCCTTACGATGCTCCACTGCCTTGTGGATCAGACCCTCAGGTCGAAGGCTCGGGGTGTGGCCCCCTAAGAAAACCACCTGCTTCGGTTTGGGCACCCGGGCAGTATCACAGCCCTCACACAAATCGAATGAGATTTGTGTGGCGCATATGTATTTGGTGCCTCTTTGTACCATTATCTATGTGTTGAAATAAATAAATAAATAAATAAGGGTGACAGCTTAGAACTCCAAAATGACTTGAAGAAATTATCTGAATGGTCTCAAACCTGGCAGTTGCCGATAAATACTTCCCAGTGCGTTGTGATGCATGTCGATCATCAAGGTACAGATACATACACGATGAATGACACTGATCTACCTGTCGTCCGGATACATAATGACTTATGAGTCATCATTAGCCAAGACTTAAAGACACTGCCATGCAATAGTCGTCAAAGGTTTTAGAACCTTATGATTAATAAGTAGGACTTTTAGTCATATCGATGCTAAGACGTTTTTGACATTGTATACAGTGTTCGTACGTCCTAAAATTGAGTACTACATACAAGGGGCTAGCCCCTGCTTAAAAAAAGACAGTGAGCTTCTGGAGAAGGTTAAAATACAGTAACTAAGCTGATTCCCGGAGTAGCGAAGCTTCCGTATGAAGCTCGACTGGCCAAGCTGGACCTTTTCTCGTTGTCATATCGCAGAACTAGAGGCGACTTGATAACAGTTTTCAAGTTGCTTAGTGATAAATTCGCACCTGATATGCCCTAATTTTTTTGTCTTCCAAAACAGAGAATTCACGAGGACACTTACAAGCCTAGAACAAATTACTTGTCAACTGACTGTCGACTTTCCCATCGAATCATCAACGAGTGGAGCTCATTACCTCAGCACGTGGTTGAGGTTCTATTCGTCGATTCTTTCAAAAGAAAGTTGGATCAACTGAGGGACCACTATCGCCAGGACTAACACAGGCCATCAGGCCTCCTGTCCTTCCTAAACTGAAACTGAAACATGGTAAACTACTTTATTTTCATCTTTGCACGCAGACTTTAGACTAATCCTTCGGTATGAAGCTGCGTTTAGGGGCTGTGAAGCTTACTAACAATATTTATTATAGAGTCTCTACAGAATCGGATTTCATCAAGTACCTATTACTGCTATTACTTGTTTGTGGAAGTTTGTCATATACCTTTGATACTATGAAATCAAGAATTATATCATAGTAAGCTACCTTATTATAGACTGGCAGACCACTTGATCATAATGAATAAGGCGCTAGCAAATGATTATAGACTTGATATGCCTTCCCTTTTCATTAAAAGTAAGCCAGAAAAATTTAGAGGATGTGAACATTTCAGCTCAAAAGCTGGAAACAGCGTAATAACAGGGGTTAAATGTTTTATATTGAAAAATCAAATGACGGAAGCTTTCAGTCCACTGACTAACTTGAGTAAAAATTGAAAAAAGAAATCAGAAAATTAGAAAAACACTGCAGACCTTGTCCTAAAACTAAAAGCTTGAGGATAAGCATACAGCTCAAAAATCAAACGCAGGACACCTGCATATAAGTGTGATTTTAGGTCCTAAAAATTGTTCCGTCCAAACATTCTGAATTCCTTTCCGCCAAACTGATCCTCAAAAAATACCAAGAGTAATACGTTCTGAAATTCTCTGATGAGTTGGTTCAAGCGACTTCCCAGGAGTCTATTAAGAGAAAGCCAAACATATCCTTAAGGATCCATGACATGATTTCAGATTACTAAGATTTCCCCTTTTGGCGTTAAATATACCTATGTATTACCTAGGGACATTGGTGATCCTCTGCTACATAAGCCTATTAAGCGAAAGATTCTATCCCGTCCAGAAAAATTAGAAAATACAAGCTGGCCCTTGTTAAGGTACCCAGTGAACACACAGAGGAACCAACCATAACGTCATAAGCAGTTCAAAAAACTAGTTCATATAGAGGACAATCTCCAAGATCTTAAACATTCCCATTACATCCGAAGTTTTATTGACGAGAAACATAACATGTGAAAACACAAGAGCTTTCCACGAGCAAATTAAAATTAAATTTCATATCATATTTTCACAACATATGAGACAGAATTTAACTTTAAAGCTAAGTTGCACTTCATTAAATTTACTGAAAAAATAAACTGTGGAAAATTACCTGTGTTCCCAAAACAACGATTTGAGGCAGTTGTATTGTTTCAGAACCCACTGTGTTAAAAACGTCCTGTAGTTTGTTTATGACTGGTATTAGAGATTCCATATAAGCGAGAAAATCGAGAAAATTAGCAAAGTATGTAAATCAAGACCGCTCAAATTCTCCTCCCTAGCTTGACCTTGAACAACTGCGTTTACGGCGGGAATCCAGCGTACAAAGTGAACGAAAGGGAGGTACATAATGACGTTAGATGTTCTAGTGAATCTGTTGAGTGTTACGCAATGCTCGTGTGTGTGGAGTAAAGTGCGAAATGTAGTCTGCTTGTCGAAGCTCTCGAGGGGAGTACTTGTCTGAAGAGGAGCTTAAAGAAAAAGTAGGAGGTTTGTGGTAGGTGTAAATAGTGAATTCTCGGCCTTCAGCAGAGTATTGAAAGTGTCTTGCAACACAAAACCTGTCTAGGAGTTCCCAACCGAAGTCGTTATACCCTGATTCGGGGCCTAGCAACTGTGTGAGAAGAGTGCCAAATGTTTCCATGTGTGGTTAACCGATTGTTGTATGACTCCTCCAGTTGCCGAGTTGGATGCATCCACTGCGATACTAATGTTTACTTAGGTGTCCTGGTGCGCTAGCGTGGTTGCTTTTGCGATAAGTTCCTTAACTGTGGAGAATGGTTTTCTTGTGGCGTCGTCCAAAGTGATGGATTTTGTATTTCCCCGAAAGTGGTCGGTTAGAGGCTTCATAAGGGACGTGCAGTTTGGTATGAACTGTCTGTAGAAACATTCCAGTCTTTTAAGCGTACGTAATTGCCTGATTGTGGTAGTGTCTCGGTAATCTAGAATGGCCACTACTTCTTTTCAGAGGTCGAATATGACAATAATGTAAAAATGAGAATATTATGATTCTTATGATCACAATGAAATGATCCTCCAAATGGATAAATGAGAATTGTGCAGAGAAGATAATACGATTTGAGCATGTCCATGTCATTGCTGTACTGACTTTGGTAAATGCTCCGTATAAGAGCTTGAGTCGTTCAACTAAGTTAGATACTTAGTTCATCCATTGATGTATTTATCATTTTATGGCTTGATTATTCTTGTCCAACAAACAGAAACTTCATACCGCGTAAATGCATATCAATTAGTAGCTTACAGACGCTATTTACTATACTGCGGCTCATTAAGGCATATTCATATTTCGTCATTTGGTATTCTTATATTCTATCGGCTCACCAGATTAGTATCTGCTATGATCTACCCTACTTATTTTCATGGTTTATTTCACTATCAAGCCCACAAACAATGAGCGATTTATTACTGTTTTTGCCGCCGGAATACATCTACCGCAGCCATTTCCCAATAAATACGGGCTATCTTTATGAACATTCAACATAAATTTAAACTTGCCATAATTTATATATCTCACATCTTTGCTGCTCTTAGTACCAGTACGTACTAACATTCCCCCTCTTTTCTTTTGAGAACCACACAACACTGATGTCATCTTTCGAGCCGACTGAGAAATGTGAGCTCGTCACTCGATTCTGTATGTAAAACGAACGACCATCTATTGAAGTTACGTCGGATGTAGCGGTCGTCACCAACGATCAGTTATATCGCTTCCTGGTCATCTCGCCTTAAACCTATATGTATATATCTTCTGGCTTTTCTACGACGCATAAAACGATACCAACATATCTAGTGGGTTGCGTTTTGTGGAAAGTGACAGAATTATGGTATACGATCTGCCCTGTGACCACTTTTGTGGTCTGTCGTTCTGTGTCAACTTAGTCACTTTGGAAGTGAAATATCCACTTGTTCATTTAACCCAACGATTTTGTAGTCTACTATCGTTTTATGTGAAGAGCGACTTGTTTGCACTGTTCTGTCGCAGATTCGGTTTTCTGTTCATCTGAGTTCCTTGTTTCCAACCGCTAGAGTCTTTTGTATACTGGGCGACAGCCGGTGGGGCAACGATTGATATACCTTCTCATCCTCCGCTAAACGTTTCACATGGTTTTTAAACTATGATGGACTTCTATTGCCAATTTTCGCCTAATTGGAAAGTCGGTCAGTTAATGAAACTGGTTCGACTAATGTTTGTCTTATTAAATGCAGTTTATCTTATTTGAATAGTTAAATCGCCACGTATACCCTCTATCACTTCGTCTGATGAGAGTTAATTTGCGTAGCCAAATTTACATTTCCGTGTCTAAAAATGGTTGACTACATGATATATTTGCAGCCTAATGATTCAGATTTTCGGGTTAGTAACACTAGAATGAGTGACAGAAAAATTAACAATACTGATGGTCGAGGTTTTGTGAAGAGCTAACTTGTCTTTATCTGGTTTTCTGTTTAAAAGAAATGATAAACATACGAATATGTCAGTGTTTATTTAGATGATGGAAACAAATTGATAGTAGTTGATAAGTCTTGCGAACCGAACGCTATATTCGTTTCCTAAGCTAGTCCAAAACCCCCAAGCTAAAACTATACAGCGACCTGAACAACGAGAGCGAAGACGCAAAGTATGGAAAAAGTACTTTACTCCAAGGTTCATTTTAATACAGAAAATACAGGGTTTTCATCATATTTTAAATGTCCTTGGGTTGCTCGAAGATTCTGTAATGCTACTAAACATATTAGCAGTGTAGTAATCCACCAATCAGAACCTCTTCATCTGATGTTTCACTTCTTTGATATTTTTGGCTAAAACTTCAAGTGAACGTTGATTGGATGAAACGCTTCTTAGTGTTTCCTGATGCTTGCTTGTCTTTTGCAATCAATTTTCTGGATCACTCCAACACGTCCCCCCTTTCAAAAGTAAGACCTCTTCTTCGGGTCTACTTACAGTCTTATAACTGTTTTTCTACGGCAAAGTTCCTAGAACGTGAGAGTGGTCTGTATAACTGGAGGATCTATGGGAGTTAGAAGTAGTCAAATTGTTTCGCTAACTAAGAATTCCCAGAACAGTCTAACTTAAGTTAGACAGAAATTAATGAACACAACTAAAAGCATCGTATTTGGGATTCACGAAATGCACGGAGTAAGGTACAAAAGGATAATTATTGCACAAAAACATCGCAGAATCGCTGAGAGATGAGCTTAGAACAGCCAGCAGATCAAAATACAACAGCTTGTTTATATCAGTAGTTCTAATTTAACAAACGTTGAGTATAAAATATACAAAAGGCCCAGAATCGCTGAACGGATTTTTCAATAGGTTATAGTTCACTTTGTACACCGAAAGCTCAGTACAAACGAACTATAAGATGCTAATTAAATAAATTATAATGCAATATCAAATTAATTGCTTACTAGAGCGAATAAACGTTTTTAACGAAAGAGAAGTACATTTCGATCCCCAAGGAATAGACTAGTTTAATCGACTGAAATTTAAGCAATCGAGCAGAATAAATTAGTCTGACGGGGCCAAAATGCAAAGTGTAACAAAATGAATGCGGTCAATGAAATATCGTGAAACAGAAATTATAAAACTAAAAAATCACAGTAATAAATAAATATGAGTAATGAACTTACTTTGGGTCAAAAAATAAATATGATACACAGAGATGAATAAAGTCAGATACGTATCTTTAACATCAAGTTAAGATAAGAGTTACTGTCATTTAGGAAACCTACAAGAGAGATATGCCCACACATATTAATATGTAACAGCATATGTTGGTTGGTTAAGAGTTGACCGCAAACAACCAAGCATATGCCAAAACAGTATTGTTCAAGTATTCATTCACTTCGTTATTTTGTATAAGCGTTATATTCCCTATTATTTTATATTGAATATTGAAAGCCTTTGTTTGTCTGAACAGAAAATTCCACGCTCCACTGTGACTGCGCTAAGATCGAAATAAAGACCTATTCACTACTTGTCTGGTTTATTCTATCAATAGCACGAGGGTTACCTATAGGCACGAAACTGGTGAGACCGACGTGATGGTGTTGCATAGATATTACATTTCTTACTGCTGACAACATAACTGTTACTCAGCCAACGCTAAAATAGATATTTTTAAAATACTTATTCGATCGTTTTCGATAGGCTACATTAGCTAACCTAAAAATAATTTTTTTATGCGAATCACAAAGTTTCAGGACTTCCTAATTAATCACGGTAGACTTAATGTACCTCTTAGATTTATATCTTACTGCCAGTAAAACCGATGAAAAGTTTGATCCCCGTTCTGTGAAACCGTGCTGACAAAAATGATTATTCCTTGAAAAAGATATAGATTTATGCATGCAGTTGAAAAGCGAGTAGTTTTCGAACCCAAAGAATAACAAATGACTTGACCTGACTCCAAAGACATGCTAGTCGTTTATATAGATAAAATAGTTAAATGCCTTCAGATTGCTAATCTATCATTATTCAGGCAGTATTGTGTGAAGAGCTAAAAGATAAGGCTATGAGCTTGCGTTCAATGACAAAAGCAGAAAATCAAAAAGATCGCAATCAATTGTAACTCGTGCAAACATGGCATATATTTATCGAGAGTTATATCGAAGATTTTAATGTATATAATATAATGCCAATATTACGTAAAGAATGAATTTTAGAGTGACGGAGTAAAGCCAATTTCAGCGGTAAATATCAAGGCCAGTGTGACTGGTGTTAGGTTTTTTACAGAGTGAAAGTCATTGTTGTTGGATAGTAAAACCAATGTTATCAAGCAAAAGTTAAATGAAAAGTTCGAAATTCAATAGAATTCTAGGTGTTGTACAAAAACTGGCAAATACCAATTTTATCTCGTATTTAACAGGTAATTAGTAAAATCGTAATGCATAACAAAACGATTAATTTTGTTCGAAAAATATCGTAAAATTATTCAATGAAAGTAAGTCTAAAAACTATAGGGGAAATAGTAACGTCTTCACTTTTTTTTCCTACTTAGGAACACTTCAGAACAGCACTGAAAATCTTCAAAACTTAAATCAAATCATTTGTCGCTGATCTATCAATCGAGAATTCAATGAGTGACTACTTTAAAATGTTCTAAGTTCTTAATGTTTAACAATAATCATCATCAAAGATGAATATTTTCCTGTTTATTGAGGTGAATTACTTTTCATTCATTCAGCTCCAGT